GTCACTTCAATCCCATAGTAGGTAGTAGCTGTATTAGCGACAGTCAAGAAGATTGGGAATCGAAGATCGGATGCAGAGAAATGTAAGTCAGTGTATTAAATTTAACAAAAGAAAAAAAGTTATGTTGAATTCAGAAGATTATAATTTGTGAGAAGACAAAGAATAGATGCATCTGCGCCATTACAAATGATTTTGAGCCATGTCATTTAAGTTCTCTGATCCCCAGTTATAATTGTCTCTTGTACCCCACTCTGGTAGTCTACACCTACTAACACGGTTCACTCCACTTGTCAGTGACCTCATGGATGTGTGCCTTGTTTGATTTGGCCGCCCTTGTATTACTTCCATATTCACTACTGAACTAATTGATTTGCTATCCTCCCTAGTTACTATGCATGGGTTGGGTGAACAGCAGAATGTTTAGGTGGTATGCCTAAATCATGAGTGAATTTATTGGAAAGTTAAAAAGTGCCTTACATTATCTGCAATTTTGACTAGCGTGAGGGAATCTACTTTCATGAAGAGAACGCGATTGGTTCAGTCGAAGCATTCATTATTCTGACCACTTGTACCAGTGATTGTTTTAGTAAAGCTCTTTGTTTATTAAACTTGTACGCTCAAAATTTCCGTTTGCACTGCCACCATTTCAGCTCCACAGTCTCTGTAATTTCGCCGCTCTTTTCTAGAACAATTTAGGTATTCTTTCGGTGCCGCGAAATCTCCAGCAAATATATTCTCTTGAATGGATTTACTTATCTTCTCTGACAGGAACGTAACTGGTCTGTAATGGTGATCTTATTCAACCACGAAGCGCTGCTACAATGCTTCTGTAAAGTGAATTTTACATTGAAAATCCATGGTTGTTCAGTGCTGATAGTGTTCGTAGAGGTGACAAGTGAGAAAAAGTAAAACGAACAACGATGTAATCGAATATATGACCAGAATACTAAGTAACCTTTCACGCTGGAGCACACAAAGCAGTTGTAAGGCAGTAGATAAAATTTATACATACAAGACAACTTTCCGGAATAGTGTTATCTTCAGGATGATGAATCTCGTAGCTCTCAAGTTTCAGATCATTGTAATAGAAAAATTTTGACTTCAGTATTTCTAGGCAGTTGCTTTGAATTTCAGATGTTTTTCAGCTATAGAAATGCAGCCTTAGCTATGCCGATCCGCGACTTCATATCTGAATCAGATCCACCTTGCTCATCAATGACGCTGCCAATATATGTAAAAGTTTCTACATCTCCCAAAGCTTTTCTGTTAAGTGTGATTAGGTTGATGCATGCAGTGTTGTGTTGGAGAATCGTACTTTTTCCCTTGTGTATGTCGAAACCTACTGCTGCAATTGCTGATATGATTCTGACCATCTTCTCGAGCATACATATCATTGGTTCATTTTCTAAGGGGATGAAATTTACAAACATCGACGAGTATTTGTACATATTATTTGATAGTCAAATAGATATTCTCTTCCATTCTTGCATCTCGCACAAGTAGCCAGTTTGGGGGCCACCTGGTAGCGCTACTAGATCCTGGACAACACACATCACAACAGACCCGTTGTCAGTCTGATGCGCAAATAAATGAAATTTTAAGATATTGATTCCAACGGATCAGGTTAAGTCACCTTTTAACAGGAACAGTAAAAAGAATTCTATACATACCAACTAAAAATAATCCAAATACTGACACAAAACCTTTCAATTCTACGAAATCCTGTCCAGGTGCTCATGTCATGAGGATCAACTCTAGACTCATTTGATGAATAGGTTTCATTTTGATCTGGATCCAGGAATCAACATTTGAGTCATAGTTCATGCAACTGAAAGACACTTTCCAAGTGCTTTCTTCGTATCGTGACTCTTCAAAGGTAGAAATTCTTCTTCGGAACCTTGTAGAAGCCGAATACAGGAAACACCTAAACCTTATCTAGCCGATAAAGCTCAATAATTATTTTTCTATATTACCATACATATATCAACAAAAACGTTTACTACCAAGTCTCTTTTGTTTAACTCGCGATATAATTGCTTTAAGAATCTTTAAAAAATTCCTTAGATATGCTGCGTTTTCAATAAGCGATCCTAGAACTTGGGCTGAGGTCCACTATCAGACGGAGAACTTAAATGTCCAAATTTTCTATACGTGTTGCAATCACTAAAAGATCCAAATAATCATGATAGAATTCTAAGCGGAATATAATGAGATCAAATTCTTACATCTTAAGGTATTACGTCGGAATGTTGTTCACTTATGATCAACGAGGTGAAACAGAAGTTTTATAGTATTTTCCAAATGACGGCCAAAAACAAAGACACACGAAGCAAAATGATATAGGAGTGCCGAAGAGCAAGCAAGCGAGGAAGAGAGATTGAGTCAATGAGCAGGATTAAAATATACAATTATACACTAAGAAAGATGATTGAATCATTTAAATATTTAAGGGGAAAACATTTAAGAGAATTGAATGTATATGCACGTAGGCAGTAAGCATTGTTCACTTGTACCTTTTAATACAAGCGCGACAATAATACAAGAACAATGGTACAGATAAGCTATTGCAGTATGAATGACATAGTTAAATAAGACGACCGAAAGGGCTTAACCAAACTGAATATCAACCAACTGAAATGCATGTGAAGTACTGTAATAGCAGCCTCCAACAAACAAAGGTACAAAAGTGTTTTTGGTTGCGGAAAAAATATTGAATGTAACAGAACTAAAAATATAAAGCTCTCGTTTAAGCTATTAAAAGTATGCGTAAGTTTGAGTTCGTATAATTACGTGATTCTAGATAGTAATAGATAGGTAGATAGTAGTCGATGATCAAAAGAATTAGGCCATGCCTTTAGAAGTTTGTACACTTTGACATCGGAAATTAATAATTCGCAATGGTAGTAATGTTTCGTTGTGGTCACCTAACCCTTCGACCATGTCTTTTTGTAACAGGATTCTCTTCATTTTTATTTGTCGATGCTATTGATGGTTGTAACTGACGTTAGGATATTTCGACGGTTTTCGAATGATCTGTATAAACAGCCTGGTCATCAGCTTCGATGAAAGCCAGTTTGACTTGGTCACTAGTTTCGTCATTTATTCTAATCTCTTTAAATGAACCATCGTAAGTAGGTTGTATTTTAGTTGGTACATTAGTTGTACATTATCCCCTTTGATAAACACATGGGTACTTTCACTCACTTGACTTAGTATGTGCATCCGGTATTGATGTTTTTTCAGAAGCATTATTCGCAAATCACTCGAATGCTACTTTAGACCTTTTAAAATAACTTGATGACATTTTTTACAAGTTTGTGTCCTGTTTATAATTGACCATACAAGATGCGCAGTGATTAGTTTGATTGTGGCCTTTATTCTAGGATGAGATACATTATGCATATGGTTCCGAATAAATGGTCGTGGTCGGCCGGCAGAAATATTATACGTGATTCCTAGTTTTTAAGACCGAGTTCCTTTGAGTAATAAGGAGGTTGTGTTGGTTTAACTAAGTATACTGAGCTCAAAATCCATATTTTGCAACACAACTAGTCTGTGATAACGGGTTTCAGATTGAATGACAGAGTTAATAATCGTTTTGATAATGAATGGGCTTCTTCTTTATGATTATCTTTTGATACCACCGAATTACTAGGAACATATTCGGTGATCTTTCCTTTCACTACCACTGGATGGACTCCATTTAAAGCCGGTTTTGTCGGGACTCTAATAATCAGTCGAACTTCTTCCAGAAATCGACATCAATCATAGGCTCAGATACATCTGCTATGACGAATTCCCAGCAAAATGAAGTAATTCGACCGAAATTCAGAGTTAATTTTCGCTTCCCGTATGTTTATATGTCGGATTTGTTTGTTGCTTTAGGCGCTAGTGCCATAGTACCATAGTCTCTCATTGCTCACGGGAAGCATGAGGCTCCTTTCCCCTCATGTGTTTACTAAGAATTGGCACCAGTTTTTTTGTCGTGGACGTAAAATGGACGACCGTTATGGAATTGCTTCACTGTTGCATAATCTAAATTCGCATGGTGATCTGCACTTCCTAGCTCTGTCGCCGTAAGCCTTTTGATACCAGCATATCGTGGGAACTGATCGTCTCCTAGAGCGTGATCTCCTTTCATCCGATCTAACTCGTGACCATTGTAGTGGTTCGAGTTGAGGTTGACTACGTTCCTACCACCAAACGTTATCCCGTTGTGGACCGAAGACAAAGAAGATATAATCCAGAAAAGGACGTATATTTATTGGCTATCTCGTGGTACCAAAAGAATACCGAGATCAGGCCAAAAAAATATGAGCGAAGTTATCATGAGCAGTGTAACCAAGATGACGACTAAACAAACGGAAAGTGTTTATACGGGGTACGAATAAACAAGAGGTTCAGTTAAGCAATCACTGGTACATGTGGTTATAATAATGAATACTTCCAATAAACCAATCGCGTTATCTTCATAAAAGTGTTGTCACTACACCATCTTTATGGTCTGTCATTCCAAGTCAGATTCGTCAGCTTTTGACAATAACTGTTAGTCTCCTTTCGTGACTTATCGATTCTAGCGTCTACAGTGATGCTTGGCGTTTGTGTAATCTCGTGTTTCATCCTCTCATATATCTTATCAGCTATCACATCGCTATTCTCAATCACTAGGATCTGCTGCACATTCAGAAGGGGGGTTGCACATGGTTCACAAACTGCTAGATAGCTTGTTTGTCGGTTAGAGAGATTGAATTTATTGCAGCCTTCTTTAAAATGTCAAATGGTCTGATGCATCCGGTTTCGCCAGAACCTCTTGTACATTGCTACATGATTCGGAAGCAGAGCTTGTGTGGATGAATTTGTTCAGTTGTGAATGAATACGGTTAGCCAAAAAGTAATTTTCAAGCCCAACAAGCCAAAGTTACTAGTGGGTTACTTTAAAAAGAGGAATAGAAAGATATAAGGACTCTCAAGGATGGCGTTTGTTCACTTCATCCAATTGGCTTAATATGTGAAGTTGGATATTTGTTGAATTCTCAAGGTCTACTCAAGGTCTTATGTCAGCTGAAAGTATGTTTCCCGTATACTGTAATTTGCTTAGACCAAGGTTTATCCGGCTTTGTTTGCCCTGAGTGTCTTGGGGCTTTCTCAGATTCAGACTCACTTATGATACATTTCGAGTCGTCACATGCTAGTCTCTCCGTAAGTTTTTTAATGCTTTCGTTTTCATTAGGGGTCTGTTAACTATCAATCCATAAACACATAAATTCTCTCCATGAACTTCCAAGTAAATTTGTGTGAACGAACGGAGTATGTTACAGTTGTGGTAAATGTCAAGTTTCTAAGTTGGGACAGCTGCTTCTCCATTAAGGTACTTGATCCTCAACAATTGAGTTGAAAATTTGTGTGTGATATACACGTCTCGCTGAAAACGGATATTTTTACTATCATCATATAATAAATGGTTCTAAGCCTAACACATGAATCTGTACCTATATTTTCTGGTCGCAATAGATTTAAATTCAACCCTGATTATGTTTGAGGCATCACCTGTTGTGCTGACCAAAGTAAAATTACGTCTAAAAGAGTAATGGAAGTTAAATATGTGTTTCAGTCTATGGAAAATCATAAGTGACTCAGGTTTTCTACAGAAGTACAAGCCTTAACTAGGATTTGGAAGATCCTTGAAGTTGACGATTTAGGACCTCCTAGTGACTTACATCAACATTGTTTACGGTAGACCATATGCACTAATTCTTAATATTCATTTAAAATTTTAATATTCCGTCGGTATACGTTTTGCTTTTCGTATGTGTTAGTTTCGATGTTTCACTCCGTTCATTGATCATTTCTGTAATTAATTAGCTGCTGTGCTAAACATACAGGTCGCTAGACACTTCACAGCCCGCGTCTATATCTTTAAAGTCAGAGAAACCTCATAGTAATCTCGGATTTGATGGCCACTTTATTCTTCGCTATAAAAATACGCTGTTCTCACTTCTTTCTTTTTCAGAATAATACTGAAAAATCTCTTGCTAAGGATGATCATAACGGTGGTACGTTCTGTAAACTTCATACATTTTCTTCAACAAAGACTCAAATAAATTCGATTCCTATGAAAACTTAGTGGCGGAACTATCTACGCATAATTTGAACTTATTGAACAGAATTACAGACCTTGTGAGTTACGAATTTTATATCATTCATCACCCGATGGATATATTTTATGTGATTTTGTATGGCACAGTTCCTGAAAAATCTGTAATATAGTGAAAGGTCTATGTTTATTTTATCATATCGTTGATATAAAACTAGTTTCATGTAATGGGTTAAATAAGAACAGCAACACACCTAATGACTTATCTGGTTTATTCAATCCGGTTAGTCTAACCTTCGTGGATAAATGTGAGAAACAATACGTTGAAGTTCATTATGTGCATCCTATATGTGTAATGATCCTACAGTTTGGCCAGACCCGTATCTGGTCTATGGTTTCTGACAATATTAAAAACTATCATATATTACTAGAAGCGATGCTTGTCGTTGAATATTCTCCAAGCATTTCGCAATGTATGGGGTTTTTATCTTGTACAATAGAGTATACATTTTTACTATACTGGTCCTTTTTGAGCTGCTCTTGTACTTCTTTAACACTGTCATCTCTAAGCTGTTTATACGTCAAAGTATCCAAAAGTTAACCACTTCCTTTGTTATGGTGACCCAAACTGAACTCATGTTTTACGATTTTGTTTATCTCTTAGCAAGATAAATTCGTAGATTTGAGTACATATTATTCATTGTGTATTCAAACTCTTTCCTTTTGAAATCGTAGAGCTAGGAATGTTCAACTATGATTCTTCCGTTCTGAGGAAGAAATAAGTCGAAATAGAATGTTTTTAGCTATCCTAAATCTATGAATATTCGATAATTTATCTCATATTGTCTGAAAAAGTATCCTAATAATAGTTTACTGTATGTTGTAGACAGGCGTCTTCTATTTCTTAAGTTTGGATTGGAATATATCTGAGAAAGCTATATTCAATAGTAGTATAGAAATATATTTATTTTCAAGACCAAATTCAAATTGTTTTTGTAGTCTTACTCATTGTATATTCGATCTTAAGAACAAAACTAACGATTCCGCTAATCATATTTTTTCATACATATTTTACACAGGAATCTGTGATTCATCTCCTTCTGAATGAACCTCCTTTGGTAAATCCTTTAACAATAAAGTATGTCTTTTTGTGGAATTTCATTGTTTACTTATTTGTATAGTACTAAAATTATTTGGTATGTACGTGTTCCTATAATAATTTTGATGTAGTTTCTCGACGACCTTAGTTTATCGCTGATAAATAAGTTCAAGATGTAAAGATTATAATATTTCTAAACTTGTTTCAAAAGTTATGATTGTCATTTCATACTTCATAATACCTAAATACACTAGGAGTTGTTAATTGTCAATGGTTGGGCATAAGTAGAACATGTCCCAACCACATCAACTAATGAAGTTTTAATACTTCATCTATTGATCTGCCGTCCTTACCTAGTACCCTTTCCCTAACAACTGCATTGCCTACTCATTGGTTCCAGGATATCCGAGCAATGCTTCAGAGATATCTATGATCGAATACTAGTAGCCTACGATTATCGTCAACTGGCCATGTTTTTCGTGGCCTTATGTAAGACGGAGCGAACTGCTACGCCTTAGACTCGTCCTTCGGTTGGTAGACGGATATTTTGTCTACACCATAAGTGACTCAAGTTGGCAAAAGCCAATCGAGCTTTCTATATCCGTGCTGAGATTTCGTCAGTCACCAGGCCATCAGCACTGATGAGACTCCTGAGGTAAGTGAAACGGTCAACACGCTCAACTGCTTCGCTCCCTATCACTAGTTCAGGTGCCGATGCAACCCAATCTTGGAACAACATTTTGCATGTTGATCTGATTTTATTCCAGTATTCAGAAATTAAAAATGATCAATATAAACAAAAATGTCATTATAAAGCTGCAGAGATCGTTGTGTTTCATTGAAATCATGAACCGATCATCACTGTTGGATCACCATTGGAAATCTGGAAATACTGGATGGTCGTTGACCAGTTCATGATTTTAATAATCAAAGCTTAAACACAAAGCTAATTACTCGGAATAACGTCGTTGACAACAATAGTAATAATAATAATAATAATAATAATAATAATAATAATAATAATAGTGAAAACGTATCTGATAGCTTTCCTGACAGGTGTAAATTCAATTTTTCAACAGTATCAATCTCTATGACTTTTCAAGCTTATCATGCTAATAGGTACCAACAATAGTGTAATATGGCTCTAGAAGCTGTCAGTTGATTGGTTTCAACCACTCACTACAGTGTACTGTAATCTAAAAGCACTTAGCTTATCAGTCACAGTGTAAACCTGACCAGCCCCGACCGAAGCTGTTACCTTGACGTGGTGGTCGGGCTTGCCCATCGTGATGACCCAACCGAGCTGTATTGGCTGGAACTTATGTCCCTGAAGGTTCTACCATGCGAGGCAGGTCGATTGGGGAACGATGAGACTAAAAGCAGCTACTCAAGGTCTGAGGGCGAAGTCGTACTGCTAACTGCAGAGAGGTGTGACAGCAGTAAGGTGTTTCCCTCGGACAACCAGCATCTGCAACGATGCTGCCTTCTGACAAGGAAGGAAGTGTTAGAACTGGTCGACCATAAAAATGTCACACCTCACCCTACCTCACGGATTTCTGTCTCCTTGGGTAAGGGTGCCCACTAAGGGCTTTTAAGATCGGAGCTAATACTCAAAAAACCCTTCATAAAAAGGCCGTGCGTGACCGGCCTCAAGCAGTTGTCCCTTGGACTTTGCGGTCACGCTCCCAGGTCTCCAAGACCAACACTGATCTATCTTCCTTCTCAGGTCCCTCAAGAAACAACGTTCCACGGTGTGGGCAGCCGGGATGTGACAACCGCCCTCCTAGCCGTAACAGCACACAAAACCTGACCAGCAAATTCTAAAGTATACAGAAAACAAAATGTAATATTCCCCACAATTACATGACTGATTAAAATTACACCTTGTATAATACTGATATCATACCACTAATAGCTTAATCAATTATTTATTTAATTCACTAATAAAATGTTAATTTTGCTGATTTGTTTGTATTCTTATTCTGAAATTAAGGGATGAGGAACTCCAACAGAAAGTGGTCAGTTTCCTGGATTATCAAACACAGTTAGCACAAAGTTATACATCCATTAAGGTTGGTTCTGATAATCTATAGTTGTTTATTTTAAAGAAAATTGTTAATCGTGAACAACAATACATCTTATTGAAACATAGTTCATAGTTATTTACAAATGAAACAGCTTTGTCGTATCTTACAACAAATGTTAACTAGCTCCACTGGTAATGTTTGTTGATGTGTTGATGTTGAATTGAATTGAGGTTAAAAAAGGCCTGCTCACTTCTTTGTCGCTGCACCATGTTGTTTCTGAAATCAATAAGATAAAAAAACGAACCTCCAGAGCTTAAACCGGGTTAATGGGTACGGTGGGTCTATCCAAAGGAGTTGGAAAACCCTAAACTAATATTGTACACGAGCTCCTGAATGCTGGGGGAACAGGCGGAATATTGACCTGTTGTTAGTCACTGGCTACCCTGTGACCGTATCTCTTGACGTTACTCCACTGACTTGTGAATTAGATTTCCATGTTAAAGGCTTAGAGAAAGTCTCTTTTAGAAAACGACCTGGTTCAGTTTTTTCACCCAAAACAGTACCCTAGCCCATATATAACTTCACTTACGTGTGTGGTAAATATATATATATATATATATATATATATATATATATGTAAGTGCCACTCTGTACCAATGTTCATGTGTTGAAAAAAGCTTGTAAATAATACGTTAAATGAAAGGCTACAGGAAAATATAAAGATAGTTCAAACCAGTTGTGTGATGAATATGTAAATATATATCACTAGAGTAGGTAATCTATCTCAATGAGAACAGGCCTACTTGAATTGGGCGGGAATGGTATGTCGAAGTCACATCTTGCGGATGCTACTCAAACTACATCATGCTGTCGTGATGACCAAATTAGTCGACTTTCCAAGCGGCTGACTAGAATAAATGCTGTCAATAGAGAACAATGTATATTATTATTAGGTTTCAGAAGTACGAGGCAAAACAAATACTTCATGTGCCTGTCCATAGCATTCAAATGGTTGATGCGCGTTGGTTGTTATCGACCTTAACAATGCTGTCGTTAGGAAACGAGTAGGTGATGAGGTATTGAAAGTTCATCAGTTGAGGTGGTTCGGACATGTGTCATGTATACCCAACCACAGGCTGCCTCGATGAGCGATGTTTTGTGGTGTGGGAGTAGGTTGAAAGAAATGTAAGGGCGGCCAAACCAAAACATAGCAAAAATCCATGAAGTCACTGACAAGTGGACTGACTCATGTTGGTAGATGTAGACTACCAGTTTGGTGTTCGCGAGATGATAGTAAACGATGGTTATAGTTCCTGAATAATATGGCTCAAAACTGTCTGTAATGGTGCAGGTGCATTCATTCTTTGTGTTCTCCTATGTTGTCATCTTCAGAATTCCTTACCACCTCTGTCTTTCTCTTTCTAAATTGATTTCACTAAATTATACTTGTTGAATAATATCTTCGAACTCTAATCTCTTTGATTACTGCTATTACTTCTATTACCTCTAATACTATGGGATTTGAATTGACTATAGCGTCTTTGTGCTAATGTGGTATGGCAACTTGAACTGATTTACGTACGTACGAAGTTCTACGTTGTAACTGACTGACTGACTCACATTGAAATGACTATGGTTTGTTTTTCCTTTCCTTTTGAGAGCATGATCATAAATATTTGAGAAACAGTGATCGGTTATCGAAATGTGTACTCAATATGTCTAGGTACATACCTTCTCTACCCAAATTTATAAAAGATAAGTGTAAACTGGTGTTAAAGTGATGACTAGACTTCATTCTCATTAAAATGAGAATCATCGCACATGCCATTTACTTATATTATCGATCGTAAACACAACAATAATAACGGGTTATGCTATTATCATGTTATTTTCAAAACAATTTATTTCATTGGGTGACAAAAAATGTGAAAAATTATTGTTTGTAATCAAAAGGAGAATAAAGTGCACGAAATTTTGCTAGCTTTATTACTATTCATTGAAATAATGAATCGATCAATGTTAGATGATCATTAAAAACATGACAGCCCTAGTAGCCAGTGCTCATTCACAACTCTGCAAGCGGGAGTCGAACCGAGGTCCTGCTCTCTCTCTCTCACAAGAACGCTTATTATAGTTGTTATTTTTACTTCAGCCCGAAAATAAAAAATGTGTAAATGAGAATTTTGTTTGACATGTAAGAAAAATTACACTTGTTATCATCAGCACAAATACTTGATACATCCACCCTGACCGTAGCTGCTACCTTGATGTGGTGGTCGGGCTTGCCTATCGTCATGATCCAACCGAGCTATACTGGCTGGAACATATGTTCCTGAAGGTTCTACCATGCCAGACAGGTTGGTTGGAGAACGATGAGACTAAAAGCAGCTACCCAAGGTCTGAGAGCGAAGTCGTACTGCTGACTGCAGAGGGGTGTGACAGCAGTAAGGTGTTTCCCTCGGACAACCAGCATCTGCAACGATGCTGCCTTCTGACAAGGAAGGAAGTGTTAGAACTGGTCGACCATAAAAATGTCACACCTCACCCTACCTCACGGATTTCCGTCTCCTTGGGTAAGGTTGCCCACTAAGGGCCTTTAAGAACGGAGCTAATCCTCTAAATACCTTTCATCAAAAGGCCGTGCGTGACCGGCCTCAAGCAGTTGTCGCCTGATCTGCGGTCACACACCCAGGTCTCTAAGACCAACACTAACATACCTTCCTTTTCAGATTCCTCAAGAAACAACGTTCCACGGTGTGAGCAGCCGGGATGTGACAACCCCCGTCCTAGCCGTAACAGCACACGACACCAAATTGGTCACAATCAAATCCTTCTTACAACCCCTATCATCTCTCTTATCTCTACCTGATTCGTCCACATTTCATCATTTGTTTTCTATATTTCAGTCAACTGAAGAAGATCTAACGAAAAAGGATGAAACAATCAATTTATTACAAAAACAACTAGATGAATTACAAATGAAGGTAAATCATTTTTCCGTTTTTTGATGAATTCACATAATGTATTGATCTTTGATCAGGTACCGGAAGAGATTATGAAGATAGATGTAAGCACATACACTTATGTTGATGTTAAAAGTGTCCAATCACAATGTGTTTTAGAGGTGAGAATAGTGTTTCTTCATATATATATATATATATATATATATATATATATATATATATAGTGCTTTTATATTACTGAATATATTTTTGTGAGGCAATTATGTAATGTCTAAAATAATCTGAGTTCATTAAAATAATTGTGAAGTAGACGGAAATATATACTTACCTACTCCTGTTACCTCCCAATGGAGCACAGGTTGCCAACCAACATTCTCCAGCCTACCCTTACCTGGGCCTTCCTTTCCAGTTCTACCCAATGACAGTTCATTCTTTTCATGTTTGCTTTCAATTCTCGATCAATTTGGTTCAGTGTAATGTGATCCACTGAAACCCATGTGGCTTTGTGTATGCGTTTGTGTGGGAATATGGTGTCACCTATGACCATTTTGTCGAAGGCACGTTGGTTTGCAAGTCTCTCGCCGTTTTCGTCCCTTTCCTCTAGTCCACGTCGTCCCAAGATGTCTCCATATCCCGTGTTGTCCATTCCAACCTTGGCATTTAGATTTCCTATAATAATAGTCAAATTCTTTGTTCCATATCTTTTTACGATTGACTTCAGTCAGCTTTATCCTCCTTACCGTTAATCTTTGGTAGGTGCATAGCACTGAACGAAACTTAATGTAATCCCCTATTTCTTTGTTTTGAAGGATGCTTTGATGATCCTGGGTCCATGAGATTCCCATCCTATCAGTGCTTTTTATGCTTCTTTGAATAGCATCAATGAAACTCCTTGTGTATGTTAGGCGTACTGATTATTTAATTAATGGTTATTGTCGTGTTTGTTTGTAGCTTTTAGTGTTAGTCGAATTTTATCATTAAAGTTAGAACGTGATCACTGTTAGTTTAAGTGTAGTTGGATTCAGTTTGAAGATAATATTTCCCCCCCGTAATGCCTTGGTACTGCTCGAAGTGAGGAGAATCCGCTTTCCCTCTTCACATACTTTCATATGGTTACGTGTGTATAACCACTGCCAAGGAAGTCCTACTCACTGCCTTTGTGTGGCGAGGGTGCTGTTTCAAAATTCAGAGTGGGGAAAGCGAATGTTCAACCGTAGCTTAAAGCGGGCTGGTGGCTGCGGAGGATCCAATAAGACAGTTTGAAAATCCTGGCTCCAAATTAATACTACACATGAATCTCAAGGCTCGATTGGCTTTTGCCAACCTGCTTCACTTATGGCGTAGGCGAGATATCCGTTCGCTGACTAAAGGTCGAGTGTACTGTGCAGTAGTTCGCTCCGTCTTACTTTATGGCTGTGAAACATGGCCAGTCAGAGTAGAAGATATTAGTAGGTTACTGGTTTTCGATCATATGTGTCTTCGAAGCATTGCTCGTATATCGTGGGACACCCGAGTGAGCAACGCTGTTATTAGGAAACGGGTGCTAGGTAAGAATGGTAGATCAATAAATGAAGTAGTGAAACTTCATCAGTTGAGGTGGTTGGGATATCTGTTGCGTATGTCTTACCACCGACTGCCTCGTCGAGCTTTGTTTTGTAGTGTAGGAGTAGGTTGGAAGAAGGTTATGGGCGGTCAGACCAAAACATGGCATAAATCCATGAAGTCATTGACGAGTGGACTTGGTCATGTCGGTAATTGTCGACTACCTGGTTGGGGTCCGCGAGATGATAATAATCGATGGTTAGAGACCTTGAATGACATGGCTCAAAATCGTTTGCGATGGCACCGGTGCATTTATTCTTCGTGTTCTCTCAAATCCTAATCTTCTGGGTTCTTCAACACCTCTAGTTTTGACTTTATAAACTTTTCCCACTGAATCATACTTCTTGAATAATATCTTCTCATCCTAACCTCTCTGATTACTTCTAATACCTTTACTACCTCTTCTACCATTGGATTTGAATTGACAATTACACCTCTGTGCTGATGTGCTATGGCAGCATGAACTGATGTACTTACGTACGAAGTTCTACTTTGCATCTGACTGACTGACACATGAATCTCAGGATCCCGACGGAGAGAATGGCGTATGAACCTACTGTTGATCATTGGCTACTATGGGACTGCATCTTCTAATATTTCTTCACCGTCTTGTGGATTAGATCTCTTGGCTTAGAGAAAGGCTGTCTATGAAAATGACTTGGTTCAGTTTTTATCACTCAGTTGTTATCCTAACCCACATATTATAATTTCAATGATTTGTGTAGCTACATGGATATTTACGTGCTCCTTTGTATCGATTTTTATGTGTTTAAATAAAAAAATAGATACCAGAAATCATAGACTGACATCAGCTATGGAGAGTTAAATTAAAATGAAATTATTGTTCCTTTCTCTTTTCTTTTTAAACAAGCGTTTCAGTTGATGGTTTTATTTGAAAGACTCTTTACTGTATAGTAATTAAACCAATTACCTGATATACTATTTTCATATTACAAATTTATACTAATTTCAATTGATTTAATCCAGTTTTAAGAGTGTATGTTGATTTTTTATAAGTTATCTGTATCTTCGAACTATACTTTTATGATTTTTCTTTAGAGAGTTATTAAGATTGTTGATTTACATTGAAACCATGAATCGATGGTTGTTAGACCACCATTAGTAACCTAGATGCACTGCATGACCGTCTCGTCCTAGTATGGGACTCTTCAGCAGTGGGCATCCACGATCCCCCCGCTCGAACGCTTAATCTCTAAGTCACTGAGCCAGCATCCAACGGTGTTAATGTATAACTTTGAGGCATCTAAGGATTTTGTGCAACATCACCCGTTACTGCCTACATCCGACAAGGTTGAACTCCACTGGTCACGGTCCTAGGTTCGATTCTTGTGACCGAGGGTCGTGGATGCGCACTTCTGAGGAGTTCCGTACTATCAGTACTTCCAGGTCTCGAATGGTGGTTCGACAGCGATTGATTCACGATTTCCATACACTTCTATTAATATTATTATTATTATTATCATTATTCGATTTTCACTTAGGAATTACCAATGACCAATCGATCTGAAAGCACAACAATACCATCAAATGACAATAATTCATTGTTAGAAGAAAAATTACAATCTCTCTCATCTGAAAATGATTCTTTAAAAGTATGATTATTATGATTATTAATATTATTTCTATTTTTTCAATTAACTAATCCGTTTTACCTGATTTCAGCATCCGTATCTCATTGTTTGCGAATTCTACCTTTCCTGATCTTCCCTCATCTTCTGCTGCCAGACATTACGTTGACACTGACGTCATATACGACTACTTATAAGTAGTTCGCACCACACTCGTCCCCTCTTTTAATAAGCTGTCGTCGTAGTCTTTCTGATTGCCGTATCGTTGTCTTCGTTGGTGCTTCCCGTGACTCACACGCTTGATAATCTTGAAACCACCTCTGCAGTTGACTGGCATTCACGCGTTTTTGGTTGTCTCCTTTCCGTATCGTGTAAACAGAGCCATGTCTCTCAATAACAATGTACGGTCCTTCCCATTTCGTGAGCAGCTTCCCTGATCCTTGTCCCCATGCTACGGTGCCTTTCTGTTCTCTACATTTTACCAGGTCCCCGACTTTGAACGGCTTCCACTGCCTACTATGCTGTTCTGTAGTTGTGTGCGACATCTGTTGCTGACTGCCTCCCTCCTCTCCTTCTTTAACCTTGTTGCCGTCCACTTCTGTTGTTGCGGCGATGTCTTATTGTGCATTATCATTTACAAGATTAAATCTTGAACATTTAACTCATTGTTTATTCACTTGATTATTGGTGGTAAGAAATTGTCTCCCAATTATTGATGGTCATAAGAATAGTGAAAAACATTTAACTTAATATTTGTCAATCTTTTAATAAATTAATTTCATTGAAATCATGGAATCACTGAGACTTCTCAGCGTTTTGCATCCATAGTCCTGCATGCAAGAGGGAATCAGACCGAAACACTTTCAGTCTCGTGTGCATACACTTAACCTCTTGACTACTGATCAAGCACCTGGCAGTGTTTAAGTCTAACTTCAATCAATCCATGATATATTGCATAACCATTTTTCATGGTTTTCGTTTGGTAACTGCCTCAGCATATCTGACACAGTTTAACTCCACTGACCATACGGCTTCTTACTGCAACTCTGGAAACTTTCTAACATTGTTGGGTGCAGGTTCAGTAGTCTGGAAGTTCAACGTTCGCACTCAAGTCCGAAGGTACTAGGTTCGAGTTCTGTGTGCAGCATCATGGATGCACATTGTAACATCCAGCCTTTGGTATGTTTGTATCTAACCTGAAGTTACCTTTGTGTACTGTAGGAGTATGAGAAGCAGAAAATAACTAGAGAGAAAAATGAATTGACAGCTCCGTCAGCGCATAGAATGCACTTATTTTCAATGAAAAGAAACAGTCAACAACAATTAGCAGTAACACAAGCATGAGGTTAAGTCAAACTGATAATCGAAACTAGAAGTTGGTAGAGTATGGTTTCGAATGCGTTACATAGCTCCTGCTGATGGGAAAGCACTATCCTCAGTGCCTGTGTTAGCTGAGCCTATGAATAGTGTGTCAGGCTGATGAGTTACATAAAGTAGGATGGCCGCTATGGGCTGCATATCAATGTATGCGGCTGATGAGTCACATGAAATGCGTTAGCTGCCGTTTAATGTGTGTCTGGCTGAATGTGAGCAAACTGCATTCCACCTCCATCACTAAATATGACTAAAATTACCTGCATCTGTTTTGACAACTGGGCAGTATCTCAGCCCATCAACGAATTCAATAACTTTTGTGGCCCCTTTTTGTATTGGTGTTTATGCGTTTACAAAAGCAAGACAGGAAGATAACTTGTGTGCTGGGGGATTGTGGAGAGTTTTATGTGAGATCGATTGTCTGGAAAAGAAAACCGACGATGCAGTAAGCATAAGACTATTCAGCCACGATAAACATCACATGTTAATCAGTGTTAGTTTAAAACTGTATCCTAATTTTTAATTAATGATGGATTTTTCAATCATAGATAGTTTCACTATGAAACTTAACTCGCTGTGGATAAAATATAACTTACGTATCAATGAAATTAAATATCATCTACTCTGCATTGCACTGTTTTACGGAAGTTAAAAACAACTCACTTACTCATTTACACCTGGTACTCCTAGTGGACCATAGACCGCCGACCAACATTCTCTAACCTACTCTGTCCTGGAGCCTTCTTTGTCAATTCTGTCCAATTGTTGTTCATTCTTTTCATATCTGTCTCCGATTCTCTGCGTAGTGTGTTCATTTGTCTTCCTCTTTTCCTTTGGCCTTAAGGATTCCATGTGAAAGCATGTATTGAGACGCAGTTGGGTGTTTTCCTCAATGTGTCCTATCCACTTCCAACGCTTCTTCCTGATTTCTTCCTCCACTGGAATCTGATTTGTACCATCCCATAGTAGGGTGTTGCTGATAGTGTTTGGCCAGCAAATCCGAAGTATTTGGCGTAGATAACTGTTAATGAATACTTGTATCTTCTGGATGATGGATTTGGTAGTTCTTCAAGTTTCCGCCACGTACATTAGAGCTGTTCTGACATTTGTATTAAAAATTTGTGTCGTTAGTGTTTGTTGATAGTTTTTTTGAGTTCCGGATGTTCTTCAGTTCTAGGAATGTAGCCCTTGCTTTGTTGATCCGCACCTTCACATCTGCATCAGTTCCATCTTGCTTATCAATGATGTTGCCCAGATATTTAAGGGTTTTTACATCTTCCAGTGATTCAACTATTCATTAACAGTTGTCTGCGCCAAATACTTCGGATCCTTTGGCCATACACCATCAGCAACAATCTACTGTGGGAAAGAACAAACCAGATTCCAGCGTAGGAAGAAATCAGGAAGAGGCGTTGGGAGTGGATAAGTCGCTCATTGCGGAAAGCACCTAACTGCGTCACAAGACAAGCCCTCACATGGAACCCTCAAGGTAAAAGGAAAAGATGAAGGCCAAGAAACACATTACACCAAGAAATAGAGAAGGATATGAGAGAAATGAACAAACATTGAACAGAACTGGAGAGGGAAGGCCAGGACAGAGTAGGTTGGAGAACACTGGTGGGCGGCCTATGCTCCATTGGGGGTAACAGGCATAAGTAAGTAAGTAAGTATATCTTCCAGTGTTTCTCCGTCAAGTGTGATTTGGTTAGTGCATAAAGTTAAAAATAAAATGACTTAAAAGATTTTTAGTTATTTCGAACCGAAAAATTCTAGAAGTCTATGCCATTAATGTTTGTATATGTATATAAACTTCTAAAAATTTCTGTCAACTAGCATAAAAGTCATCATTCTAATCGATATTGTCTTGTATCCTGAGGTTCTGTGGCAGTGTCTGTCATTGAAAGGTATACCAAAGAAGTACATTAACTTTATACAAGCTCTCTATTCAAACACCACTGGTCGAGTGAGAGCTTATGGTGAACTGTCATCGGAATTCTTTACTTCAGGTGGTGTCCGTCATGGCTGTCCACTCTCTCCATTCTTGTTTAATTTTGTCATAGATATGCTGCTTGATATAACCTTAACCTTGTCTGAATTTTCACGAGTAGACCTTGTACCAGGAGGCTCTCTTATTGACCTAGAATATGCTGATGACCTATTCCTACTTGGTGAAGATGATGACAAAGTGCAGTCTTCTGACCACCCTAAGCAACAATGCAAGCATATTCGGGATGCGGTTTTCCCTGTCGAACTGCAAAGTAGTCGAACGTGTAGACTGCTTCACTTATCTTGGGAGTCTCGTCAGTGCTGATGGCCTGGTGACTGACGAAATCTCAGCTCGAATACAGAAGGCTCGATTGGGTTTAGCCGACTTGCGTCACTTATGGCGAAGGTGAGATATCCGGCGGCCAAACCAAAACATGGCAGAAGTCCATGAAATCACTGACAAGTGGACAAAGTCATGTCGGTAGGTGTTGACTAACCTGGTTCGTTTCCACGAGACAGTAGTAACCGATGGTTAGAGACCATGAGTGACATGGCTCAAAACCGTTTTCAATGTCACAGGTGCATTCATTCTTTGTGTTTTCGCAAATCCTAAACTTTTTAATTCCTCATCACTTTTTAAGTTTATTTCATTAGATTCTACTTCTTGAATAATATCTTCTAATCCTAATCTCTCGGGTTACTGCTAATACCTTACTATCTCTACTACTATGTGATTTGAATGGACAATTCCATCTCTCTTTGCTAATGTGGTATGGCAACATGAACTGACATACCTACATACGTACCTACGCACGTACATAGTTTTACGTTGCTATTGATTAATGATTGATTGTCTTGTATCACAAAAATCATTCTACAACTCTCTCTCTCTCTCACTCTACAACTAATCAATCTTTAAATTTATATTTAATTTAATATGATTGATGTACAGTTTTGGCTACATACATGTTTGCATTACGGGGTTGTGAAGATTATTAAGTTACACATTTTTGAAACCATGAATCGATCAATGTTAGACCACACTATTAGAAACCTGGAAGCACTGAAACACCGCCGTTTCGTCCTGTTATGGGACTCATCAGTGTCAGTGTGCATCCACAACTCCTGCACCCAGAAGGATTCGAAACCAGGACCTTTGGTATTGTAGGCGAACGCCTTACCGTCGGACCACTGAGCCGGTACCTAACGGTGTTAATGTCTAACTTGATCAAATTCATGGAGTTGTGCAACCTCATACGCAGTCTTCGGTAGTAGTTACTGTTTACATCCGAACAGGTTGAACTTCACTGGTCACGTCTTCCTACTAGAACTCGGAGAAAATTCCTCACGAAACTAGTCACTAGTGAGCACAGATAATTTGTATTACGGGGTTGTTATATATATATTTTTTAAATTCAACTGTACACTAACTGTCTCAATTCATAAATTTGCATATTCTTTATGATAATTTGTAACCTTATCTTGTCATTTTTTGTTGTTATCTGTTGATGCCTTTTTTCTTAACTTTTTTTCTTCCGGCATATATATAGCAAGAATTATTATCCATAAAAACTGAATTAAATCATTCAACGAATCAATTACATGAACTCATTGAATCAAAAACTAATGAAATGCATAAATATGAAATGGAATTAACTAATCGTTCAACGCATTTATCATTGGTTGAAAGACAATTACAGGAATTAAAATTGACCAATCAAAAACTTGTTGATGATGCATCAACACATCTGCAATGGAAAGAGAATTTACAATTGGAATTGAAAACAATACAAAATGAATTGGAAGGCAAACAGAAACAATATGAAAATGATATTGTAAGTATTCAAGGAAAACTATTACGAATTATTATTTTTAATCAAAAATGATGTTTCATGAAGGGATTTGATTATTTTCCAAAAGTTATACCTGCTTTTTATCTCTGTCTCTTGTGGAGCATAAGCTAGTGAATCGAGATTCTGTAATCAACTCTCCTTTCCAGTTGTTACCGATTGCTGTTCATTCTTTTCATGTCTGTTTGCAACTCTCAGCGTTGCTCGTGTACCCCGGGGACAATCGAGTAAGCAATGCTGTCGTTACGAAACAAGTACTAGGTAGGGATGGCAAATCAATCGATGAAGTATTGAAAGTTCATCAGTTTGGGTGGTTGGGACATGTGTTACTTGTACCCGACTGCCGACTGCCTCAACCAGCAATGTTTTGTGGTGTAGGAATAGACTGCAAGAAGGCGGTCAAAGCAAAACATGGCACAAATTCATGAAGTCACTGACAAGTGGATTGAGTCATGTTGGCAGATGTAGACTACCTGGTTGGGGTCCGCGGGACGGTACTAACCGGTGGTTTGAGACATGGCTTAAAATCGTTTTTAATGGTGCAGATGCATCCATTCTTTGTGTTCTCTCATGTTGTAATCTTTTGAATTCCTCATTGCCTCTGTCTTTCTCTTTCTAAATTTATTTTATTGGGATATAATTCTTGAATCATATCTTCGGTCGCTAGTCTTCTCCGTTACTAGTAATACGTCTACTGCCTCTACTACTATGGGATTTGAATTAAAAATTGCATCTCTGTGCTAATGTGTTATGACGACTTGAACTGATGTCGTACGTACTAAGTTCTACGTTGTAGCTGACTGACTGAATGACTGACTTCGACTACTTTTCATTTCATTTCGTTAATCTTCTGTTTCTTTCTCACACATTGTCTATTGATGTGAATTGTAACAATCTGTGTTAATGTACATTCAGAAAACTGTGATAAATGAATGTGAGAAGAGTTAGTTCCCGACCGAAGCTGCTACCTTGACGTGGTGGTCGGGCTTGCCTATCGTGATGACCAAACCGAACTATATTGGCTGGAATATATGTTCCTGAAGGTTCTACCATGCCAGGCAGCATCGCTGCAGATGCTGGTTGTCCGAGGGAAACACCTTAATGCTGTCACACCCTTCTGCAGTCAGCAGTACGACTTCGCCCTCAGACCTTGAGTAGCTGCTTTTAGTCTCATCGTTCTCCAATCGACCTGCCTGGCATGGTAGAACCTTCAGAAACATGGTCAGTCAGTCAGTCAGTCAGATGCAACTTATGTACAAAGTTCTACGTTAAGGTGTTTCCCTCGGACAACCAGCATCTGCAGTGATGCTGCCTTCTTACAAGGAAGGAAGGAAGGGTTAGAAAAGGTCGACCCTAAAAATGTCACACCTCACCCTACCTCACGGATTTCCGTCTTCGGTGGTAAGGGCTGCCCACTAAGGGCTTTTAAGTGCTGAACTAATACTCAAAAATCCTTTCATAAAACAGCTATGCGTGACCGGCCTCAAGCAGTTGTTCGCTGGGCTCTGAGGTCACGCACCCAGGTCGTAAAGACCGACACTAATCTACCTTCTTTTTCAGGAAACAACCTTCTACGGTGTGGGCAGCTTGAAAGTGACAATCGCCCTCATATCCGTCACAGCACAAGAGACCAAATAGTTCACAATCAAATCCTTCCTACACCCCCTAACAACCCCCTTATCTTCACGACTAACTCTTCTCACATTCCTTTATCGCCCCCCACCTCTGCTGCAAGCAATTCGAGTTCCAGAAACGTCATTCCTGGTCTCCTGAAACCCCGTTTTAAACTACACGTTTGAGCATTTAATGTACGGACATTGTATCTAAAGCGAGGTAGAGCAGCAGGTCTTGAAAGGCTGACCCTGAGGTCAGATGTTAAAGGATTATATCAAAGTGAATACTTTATCACATCGATCGTACATATTTAATGCAAAAAATATTTCAGCCTTTAGACAAACTAAAACTAATCCATCCTTCTCAAGTTACTCCCACATCTTTCGACCTTTTGTCAATCATTTGCTCAGTATATATGTGCATCACTTACTTTGTCTATTACATGTCTAACTTATTTTTGTCTAACTACAAATACTTAGTCGTATCTCATTACACCAAGTTGGCCCTCTCGCCTTCTACACTTCGCTTCGCTTTGCTTGCATACTTTTCATTCTCGTCTGCCTGCTTTTAATGGAATGTTTGAAATGATCCCATCCAACCGAATCTGTATTTAACTTCTTATTGCCACTGTCTCACAAACCGGATTCAGTTAAGTTACGATATACCGGTAACTAGAAAGGTCATTTGTTTCGTCGCATACTTGATCATTTGTAAATATCAGAGTCAAATTACTTACTTACTTACTTACTTATGCTTGTTACCCCCAATGGAGCATATGCCGCCCACCAGTTTCCTGCAACCAACTCTGTCCTGGGCTTCTCTCTCCAGTTCTGTCGAATGTTTGTTCATTCCTCACATATCTTACTCTATTTCTCGGTGTAATGTGTTCCTTAGCCTTCCTCTTTTCCTTTTGCCTTGAGGGTTCCATGTGAGGGCTTGTCTTGTGACGCAGTTAGGTGCTTTTCGTAGTGTGTGTCCTATCCACTAACTCCACCACTTCTTCCTGATTTCCTCCTCCACTGGAATCTGGCTTGTTCTCTCCCACAGTTCGTTGTTGCTGATCGTGTTTGGCAAACGAATACGAAGTATTTTGCGTAGACAACTGTTTACAAATACTCGTATCTTCCGGATGATGGCTTTGGTAGTTCTCCATGTTTCCGCTCCATACAGTAGAACTGTCTTGACATTTGTATTGAAAATCCTGATTTTGGTTTTGGCTGAAAGTTGTTTGGAGTTCCAGATATTTTTCAACTCTGCCAGTAGAACCTCCGAGGCTCCTGCCGGTCCCAAGACCGGATAAACGAGGAAGGTTGGACATGGGGTTGGCGACCCCATTCCGTCAAAAACTACCTTGCCAAGAAAACGCTAACCATAAAAAAAATAAATCGGAGTCAAATAGCTGACCATTAAAATGATGAACCCTACTTTAAATCTAATGCAGCCACCGTCTACGTAATCATTATCGATTTATCGATGAGATAAATCTAAGTGTATCGTTTTTCTGTTAGTTAATTTGCATATTGTCATGACTACTAACACTCGTATGTAAATATTAAATGAAATTTGAATTTGGACACATTCATTAATCATATATTGAAACAATTGATCACAAATGTAAGTTGATTTCAAAACGAAAAATACACGTAACATTCAAAATATTTGAGTTTGTGACAACTAGCATTGAATTAATAGTGTAAATTCAAAGTTGTTTATTCAAGATATTGTCAGTCTACTTATTTATTAATTCTATTGTTACGCTCGTCACTAAGTATGCTTGAGGCTATTACGAGTTTACCTTAGTCGATAAACGCGAACGAGACTTTTACCAGCGTCCAGGTAGGCTACCTTGAATCCCCAAATAGAGTAAAAAGGCTTTGTAAGCGTAGAAAGTATATTCTACAAACACCCAGCAATCACACAATACAATCAATCACACAACTCTCGTTTATTTATACATCATAGAAACGTCCTTGAGACAGTTAAGAAAATAGCACACTAAAATACACTGCATCCAATCATAGCCATGGATTCTCCTGGTGGGAAATGAAATCTCAAGGTCAACTGATCAGCCCATGCTGGCAAACGTGAAAACCAAACTAAGGCATTTAACAAGCGATCTAACATCCCCAACATCTATGCATATAAAGATTAGAATTATCTTGTTCAATGTTACATTTCAAGAAAAAAATTGATCATTTAACAAGCTAACTTATGTTGCAAACACTTGAATCCTATCAAACTACACTGAGTAGCTATTCTTGTACACAGAAATTTTGGGATTCTATTCCTAAATGGATTACGATGAATAGCTTAGTTATTAGATTTTTCAAGTTAGTCACACAGATGATGTCATATTTTAACGTTGAATATGAGATGATAGGGAATGTTTCAAATGCAGAATACAGGTTTTGGCAGTGTTCTGTTGTCTAATCTGGTTTTTTTAGTCTCGAATCTTCCACCAGTCCCTCCAGATAACAACATTTCTTTGAAATATTTACTGATGATGTTTAGAGGAACAATGAAATCTTCCCAATTAAAGCATCATCCGGAATAGAGATTTAAGCACACCTTCAAAGTATTTCGTTTGTTTCATTTTTTGTACTCTATTCATCAGTTGTATTTGTGCATAGATAATAGGTAATAATAAATGCTAAACATTATGAATCATCCATGCACTGAATATTAATTGATGCTCTGGTTGTTTGGAAGAGTTTTAGCCTCGTGAATTCCGAAGAAACCCAACTTTTACCATGAGGTGTCATAACTCTTCTAAATGAAAACTACTCAACTATCTGGTTAATGATTTTCTTGGCAAGGTTGTGGGACCGGGTCGCTTACTCGATGCCCAATCCTCCTTGTTTATTCGGACTTGCGACAGGCAATAACCCTAGAAAGACTGCTGATGGAATACAGTGTACGGCTCGTATGCATTTAGACGGTTTGGACTTCGTAGTTGATCTGACACCAATATCTCACAGACAGTAATCAATGCAGGTGAAGACTCAGTGTAGCAACAGCCTCTGTAGCAGTAGGCTTCAACATACACAAGGAAAATAGACAGATCCTTAGATACAACACGGCAAGCACCAAACAAATCATACTTGGCAGAGAATCGCTGGAACATGTGGAAATGTTTACACGTCTGAGCATCACCGTTGATAAAAAGGGGCATGTTATACAGACATAAAAACAGGTACTGGCAAAGCAAGAGCAGCATTTCTATAATTGAAGAACGTTTGAAACTCAGAATAACTGTCCAAAAACATCAAAGTCAATCTCCAATACAAACATCGAAACCGTTCTATTGTATAAAGCGGGGACCTGAAGAACTACAGCAGTCATCATTCAAAAGATACAGTTCACTTGTCTACTCAAAATATCGCAAACCCATTGGCCGAAAACCAATAGCCACAACCGACTATGGGAGAGAATAACTCAGATTCCAGCTGAGGGAAAAACGGCTAAAAAGCTGTGGAGATGGATAGGAGACAACGCGGAAATCGGCATACCGTGTCACGAGACAAGTCCTAACTTGGAATCATCAAGACCAAAGAAAGGAAAGAAAACTAAAGAACATATACCGGGAATCGGAGACAGATTTCGAAAAAAAAGTAATTGACACTTGAGAATAACTGGGATGTTTGGCGGCGGCCAGAGTTGATAGTTAGAGAGTGATGTTCGGCGCTCTATGCTAAGTATTCATGAGTGATACCGTTTTCCCTGTAAAGTAACTTACTTCCAGGTTTATAAAAAATATGTATTTGTTTTCTTCCACAGAATCGACTAACTGATGAACTGTCTGAATCAAAACAATTAAATACTACACTTCAAACAAAATGTCAACAACTTCAATCGGAAGCCGATGACGCTGTAAAAGCAAGTCAAGTTTGTGAAGAGAAATTAATTAGTTTGGAAAAGAATCTTGAAAGTATTCGTTCCGAGTCACAAAGTAAGCAAAATGAAAATCAATTTACGTTGTACAATCGGTTTTCTAATTTGTAATCAGAAAAACTATCTTTAGATTAGTTTTGTCTAATATAATTCTGAACCGATCACCATTAGGAACCTGGAAGCACTAGACGGCCGTTTCGTCCAGATATGTAGCTGGAGTCGTGGACGCACACTGCTGATGAGTCCTATATCACAATGAAACAGCCGTCCAGTGCTTCCAGGTTTTTAGTGGTTGTTTAACATTGATCGATTCATGATTTCGAATGTGTAACTTGTCAATCTCCACAAATCCACAATGCATATATACATATATATATATATATATATATATATATATATATATATATATATATATATATATATATATATATATATATATATATTCTGAAAACTTTTTTAAAAAGATTAAGAAAGATTTTTAACAGCTTGTATATTGTTCTCATTTCGGTGTTTCACCAGGAATCAACATCAGCTATTGTGTAAAATGCTAGTTTTATGTACCAACCTACATTACTTGTATGAAGGCCGATAATTTATTACGGCTTCTTTGATTGATGTAAATGAAGTACATTTTTGGTCCTTTGACTGACTGACTGTCTGTAAGATGAGTACTTTAACCATTAAATTGTCGTTCCATTTTTACAATAATTTTTACTGTCTCCAAGACGCGAAAATGGCTACACATCATGTCTATTGATTGATGTGTAGTTATGAAACGGGAATGTGATTGGTCGTCGAGCATGGAAAACCCACATACTCTACTAATTGTTATGGTGTGGTTTCGTACTCTCAGTTGGATGGTTTGGTCATGTAGCTTTCATTGTTCGTTTGCATAAGTTAGAATACTTCACTTCTACCTGAAGTTTGTGCTGAAGGTGTTGTTCAGTAGAACAATGAAAACTTCATGACCATTCTATATAAGCCTATAAATATTTTAGGTGAATTACTCTTGTGTGATTATAAATATAGTTTAACAGTTTTTTCCTGTGATTAATTTCCCGAAGCTGGCACAAGTATTTGACCAGACATTCGGACTTCAAATAAATCGATATACTTTGAAATTGTTACATCTTACATCAGTGCAGCTGGAGAACCAGTGAGAGAATGAGACTGATAGAATGAGGAAATTGTGAACTTAAGTGCAGTGGAAAACTATGTATAAAATAATTTAAGAATATATTGGTTTTTTGAATCTTCTTATTATTGTTTAGAACTGGAATTAATCAGTCAGTTTAACATGTGCGCGGGTTGCCTCGATTATCGCCTTTAAGTTACTGTTGAGGAGTCAAGATACTTACATCTATAGAGGCCCCAAAAACGACCGGAAACGTTTCATCCAAATCAGGATTGAATAGAATCATCGCAGAAACGTCTAGAGAATGCAGAGTCGTGTCACGATTCTGACTGAATATTTAGACGAACCGCCACTATATTCAGTATGGTTGTGGAATCCTCCAGAAGCCCAAGGTTGCGAGTAACTCAGTACACAAATTAACCTTGAAATAAAGCGTTGAATATCTTGTACTTCGTACCTTTTCTCTTATGTTTAAGTCACATTGTAACTTGAGTTTGAGGTTCTTAGCAGCGAACAGGAATTCAAATCTTATGTTTATTTAACAAACTTATCAGGTTACAAGCATAATTAACAGAAGTGATTAGTAGTTAGCAGTAGAATCTTGACCGATACGCATCTGTTTTTATCATTATCCGTTCGTTTGTTAATTTCATCATGTCATCCTTCATCATATGAGTGAAAGTGATATGTTCGTCACTTAGGATGCTTGAGGCTATTACGAGTTTACCTTGATCGATAAACGCGAACGAGACTTTTACCAGCTTCCAGGAAGGCTACCTTGAATCCAAACGGTAAAACAGAAGTCTTGGTAAGCGTAGAGAATATATTCTACAAACACCCAGCAATCACACAACAACCAAGCATACAACTCTCGTTTATTTATACAACATAACAACGTCCTTGAGACAGTTAAGAAAATAGCATACTAAAATACACTGCAGCCAATCACAGCCATTGATTTTGCTAGTGGGAATTGAAATCTCAAGGTCATCTGATCAGCCCATGCTAGCGAAACGTGAAAACCAAAATACGGCATTACCAAGCGAATTTTGGGGATCTAACATCCCCAACACTCCTCCCTTTTTTAATAGCTTGTTCTCCTGGGGTCGACTTGCATCTTGACTATTGTTCGCCGCTGTCTGAGGGGATACCTTCGGGAACGAAGAACAGCTTGCTGCTGAGTTTCTTCTCGTGGCGGGGCTCTCGGTAGGTTGAAGGTATCAAGCAAGATGTCAAGGGGAAGGCTTTCTGCTCTTGATGGGCGATCTGGGGCTAGCCGTCTGCGTATCTGATTGCGATGACGTGACCATTTATCACCTCCTACCTCTACTTCGTACATAACTCGACCAACCCTTCTGACCACTCTCGCTTCTACCCAAGGACCATGGTTCGTTCTCTGGGTTCCTCTACATTGACACTTATCTAGGCTCGTTCACCTCGAATGCGTCGAGCAAGTTGGATATCTTTTGGTATAATCGTAACACGCTTAGCATGGATGGCACATAAGTTAGTGTCCTCGAACAATCCAACTAAGTATGCTTCACTGGCTTCTTGGAGCGCTGAGACGGCTGAACTCTGGAAACGAAGGTCAGTTTTGAAGTCTTGGGCGATTTCGCGCACCAAACGTAGAAAAGAAGCTTGCGGATTAAGAGCTCAGTACTCTTCTGGTAACGACGTGTCTCCCCGTAAGGCAACAGTCCCAGGTCTATATCTGTGGGGCTTCTTCACGTCACCGGTTGCTGGTGCGCTTTTTCGTGCAGCCTTGGTAGCCAGTTGCTTGCATGGGGCTTTGCCATCGGTTGATTTACGAGCAGTCTGCTTGGTTCTTGCCATTGCGAAACACCGAGAGACGATGACTTTACACTTCTTGCATCTATGCTGCCTAAATGGGCAGTTCCGTACATAGTGCCATGAACCGCAGTGCCAGCAAGCAGAAGGTGGATTCATTTTGGATTTTTGGGCCGAATTGGAGCGGGGTGAACTGGGTGTAGCACGGGCAGACTTATAATGATTAGGTGGCTGCTGTACCAAATGAATTTCAGATCGGCTTGAACTACCACTCTGAACTATAGTCGAGTCTCGTTGTAGGTTAGTGAGACGTTGGTATTCATGAGCCATATCATTAAGCGTAAGCTTTGGATCTTGCTCCAACCGACTTAGTAGCCTTGTTCTAATGTCACTAAACTTACTCGACTGGAGGCTGCAGATGAGTATAAGGGCTTTGAACTGGTCTTCCGACAAAGACTTCAACCGAAAACGTTCGCATTCACGGTTGACGATGCCCACGTGCGTAAGAAAATCATCATCTTCGTTCATAATAAGCTTCAAACATCGATAACGAGTATTAAATAGTGACGAGTTGTCTCCAAAGTGTTGGCTTAAAGTCTGGACAGTCTCAGAAAACGAACAATCTCGTGGGTTCAAAGGCAGGATCAAATTACAGTACTTATCCAGCTCACTTGCGCCCAACTTTCGAAGTAGCAGCCGAACCTTCCAAGCATCATCTTGGTTGGCGAAGTCAAATTTAAATAAATCTTCATAACGCCGGAACCACATGTCAAAAGTGACATTCGCATCAGGATCATAATGAAATTCAGATATGCTATTTGCGATGCCGTCGACCGATGGAGCTGTGGTTGCATTAGATGAGCTGGGCTGTGTGGAAGGGGAAATCTTCATGTCTGTCAACATCTGCATCAGTTTCAGCTGCTGCTCAAGTAGTGATTCGAGTTTGGCAGGATCCATATTTCCAAAAGCACCGTCGCCACTGATATGTTCGTCACTTAGGATGCTTGAGGCTATTACGAGTTTACCTTGATCGATAAACGCGAACGAGACTTTTACCAGCTTCCAGGAAGGCTACCTTGAATCCAAACGGTAAAACAGAAGTCTTGGTAAGCGTAGAGAGTATATTCTACAAACACCCAGCAATCACACAACAACCAAGCATACAACTCTCGTTTATTTATACAACATAACAACGTCCTTGAGACAGTTAAGAAAATAGCATACTAAAATACACTGCAGCCAATCACAGCCATTGATTTTGCTGGTGGGAATTGAAATCTCAAGGTCATCTGATCAGCCCATGCTAGCGAAACGTGAAAACCAAAATACGGCATTACCAAGCGAATTTTGGGGATCTAACATCCCCAACAGAAAGCATATTTTCATTTCATCGAACTTTATTATTCATTTTGAACAACGCTTACGTCTTCTATTATTTTCAATTTATATTTAGCAGAATCAAAATTATCCAAGAAAGAAATTGATTCTCTAATGGAAAAGTAGGCTTGTTTTATTTTTAAATCAATGTAATATCGTTTTTTAAACATGAAGTATAGTTATTGTATATACTTGTCACTTGTAAAATTAAATTTGGCGATTATCTCATAGATTATGACCAATATATATTAAAAACGAGTCAATTTTTGCGTTTATTTGAAGCACAATCACTTAAAAGAGAGAGAGAGGTAGATATTAAAAACATATAAGTAATTGTCTAATCCTTTGTTTGCTATGTTGACAACTTTTGGCATATCTGTAGAAGACGTTCGGCATTATCTGTTCGGTCAGTCGTGATACTGTGAGATCCACCTAAGTTGTCTTTCCTTTTCACATAGTCTACCTAATTTGGCATTAAAGTCATCAGCCACTAATACTATATCAGAGCGCTCAACATTTTGAATGTGGTCAGATAGCTTTTTTTCAGAACTCATCTTTTACTTTGTTCGAGCCTTAGTCGGTAGGAGCGTAGGCGGAGAAAACAACGAGACACCTGGGCATGTCCCTGTCTTTCCGAGTCCTTACTGTCCCGTTTTTTAGTTGGACAGCGTATAAGTGACTGTCTACCGGGAGCCACTCTAGGAGAGCTAGTTTTGCTTTAGGATTCAATGCTATACCTACACAAGTGAGGCCACGATAAAGCAGCAGTAGCGCTTCCAGATACATGAAGCATAATTCTTTGTTTCGACAGGATGAGGTCGAATGACTAACTCTACTTGAATCCTGTATGCGCGTTTTTGGAGACGCAGCATACATCAATGGTACCAGACTCTAAAGTCCTAGCTAACGACGCTTGTTTTCCTATTTGGCACAATTTCCGGGCATTAAAAGCTCTAAAATGTAGTTTAGAACGTGGTTTCACGAGACCAGGAATAATGTTTCTTGTACTTGAATCGTTAGATTTAGCGGCTCCAGGTGATAAGGGAATAAAAGAAAGGTTAGTCGTCGATGTAAGATAGTTATTATGAGGATTTTATTGTGACTAGTTTGGTCTCGTTTGCTGTTGTGGGTATGAGGGAGTATGTCACTTCCTGGCTGTCTACACTGTAGTTTGGTATTTCTTGAAGAGCCTGGAAAAGAAATTAGATTAGTGTTGGTCTTAGCGACCTGGGAGCTTGACCGCAGAGTCTAAGAGACAACTGCTTAAACCGGTCGTGTACGGTCATTGTATGGGACGTTTTTAATGCGGTAGCTCCACTCTTCAAAAAGCCTTACTTTTGGAGACGATAGTTCGTGAGGTAAGATTGGGAGTTACATTTTTAGAGTTGATCTTTTATAACCTCTTGCTTCTGTTGCGATGCTGATTGTCCGTGGGAAACATCTTACTGCTTTCACACCTCTCTGCAATCAGCAATACGACTTCATCTTCAGACCTTGAGTAGCTGCTTTTAGTCTTACCATTCTCCGATCGAACTGTCTGGCATGGTAGAACCTTCAGAAACATATGTTCCAGCCAATATAGCTCGGTTCGATCATCACGATAGGCCAACCCCGACCACCACGTCAAGGTAGCAGCTACGATCGGGACTGTTAGCAGATATATAGAATTTCTAATCAGGATTGAAACCTATTGTGTTGTTTGTTTGTTTGTTTTCACTAAAATTACGAGACCACCTAGTGTCTACTGACACATACACACATACACATACACTCATTGTTTGTTTTAACTCACTTTTCATGCTTAATTTATCACGTTAATTTATTCACCAGATTAATTAATGCTGAAGATGCAAATGTAAATCTTCAAAATGAATTAAACGCTAAATTGAAAGAAATTAAAGAATTACAAACGGCTGTCAATGAATTAGGCAGAGAGAATCAAATACTTCAGGTAATAATATTGATCATAATAATAATAATAATACAAATTACATTTCAATAGGTTCTACGTGATCGTTTAACTAATCGTCAATGGACTAAAGATGATGAAGCTTTAACATGTTTTGGTTGTGATCGTGAATTCTCTATCAGTACACGAAGGGTATGATGAATTTTTATTCGAGTGAACTAATTTTTGTGTAAAATCAGTTGGAAAAAGAAAGCAAACTAACTTTTACTACTGAATAAAATTAAGTAGTTTTACTAAGTACAGTCAGATGAATGGAAGCATTAGATTTTAGTTTCATACTTACTGATACAGAGTTACTCAGTAAGATCGGAAAACCATATCGTAAATCGTTAATTTGCAAAATATCAGTTCATCATATCGAACTGGACTGTTCCTGTTGCAGAACATCAATCCATTGTCACTATTCATGCGTTTCATACAAATTCCATTGTGTTCTAACTCTTCCTTTCTTGATCTTCCCCCATCTTCTGCTGCCAGACATTACGTTTACACTCACGTCATATACTACTTATAAGTAGCTCGCACCACACTATTACTACTACTGAGGTGTCTAAGTTGTATTAAAGTTCTTTAAGACCGACATAACTACTTACACTTGTCACTCATAATGGAGAGCATAGATGGCCAACCAGCATTCTCCAACCTACTGTATCCTTTCCACTTCTACCCAATTGCTGTTCATTCTTTTCATGTCTGTTTCCCATTCTCGGTTCCTAGTGTTCCTTGTTCTATCTATTTTCCTTCGGTCTTGAGGAATCCAAGTTAGTGCCTGGCCTCGTGATGCAGTCGGGTGCTTTGCGTAATGTATGTCCTGTCCAATTCCAGCGCTTCTTCCTAATTTCCTCCTCCGCTGGAATCTGGCTTGTTTTTTCCCATAGTAGGTGGCTGACCTGAGTCTCTTATGGAGTACGCGATGTTCTGTGGCAGTCTCTGTCATTGAAAGGTGTACCAAAGAAGCACATTAACCTTATACAAGCTCTCTACTCGAACACCACTGGTCGAGTGAGAGCTTATGGCGAACTGTCACCGGAATTCTCTACATCAAGTGGTGTCCGTCAGGGATGTCCACTTTCTCCATTCTTGTTTAATTTTATCATAGACATGCTCCTAGACATAACATTATCCTCGTCTGAACTTTCAGGAGTAGACCTTCTACCTGCTGGCTCGCTTATTGACTTAGAATATGCCGATGACATAGTCCTACTCGGTGAAGACGCCGAAAAAATGCAGAGTCTTCTGACTACCCTAAGCAACAATGCAAGCATGTTTGGGATGCGGTTTTCCCCCCTCGAAATGCAAAATGTTGCTTCAAGATTGGGTTCCATCGGCACCTGAACTAGTGATAGGGAGTGAAGTGGTCGAACATGTAGACCGCTTCACTTATCTTGTGAGTCTCATCAGTGCCGATGGCCTGGTGACTGACGAAATCTCGGCACGGATACAGAAGGCTCGATTGGCTTTTGCCAACCTGCGTCACTTATGGCGTAGGCGAGATATCCGTTTGCTGACTAAAGGACGAGTGTACTGCGCAGTGGTTCGCTCCGTCTTACTTTATGGCTGTGAAACATGGCCAATGAGAGTAGAAGATATTCTTAGGTTACTAGTTTTCGATCATAGGTGTCTTCAAAGCATTGCACGTATATCCTGGGACACCCGAGTGAGCAACGCTGTTATTAGGAATCGGCTGCTAGGTAAGAATGGCAGATCAATAGATGAAGTGGTGAAACTTCATCAGTTGAGGTAGTTGGGACATGTGCTGCGTATGCCCAACCACCGACTGCCTCGTCGAGCTTTGTTTTGTAGTGTAGGAATGAGTTGGAAGAAAGTTAGAGGCGGCCAAAACAAAACATGGCAGAAATCCATGAAGTCATTGACGAGTGGACTGAGCCATGTTGGTAATTGTCGACTACCTGGTTGGGGTCCGCGAGATGATAATAATCGATAGTTAGAGACCTTGAATGACATGGCTCAAAATCGTTCGCAATGGCGCCGGTGCATTTATTCTCTGTGTTCTCTCAAATGCTAATCTTTTGGATTCTTCAACCCCTCTAGTTTTGATTTTCTAAACTTTTCTCACTGAATCATACTTCTTGAATAATATGTTCTAATCCTAACCTCTCCGATTACTTCTAATACCTTGACTACCTCTTCTACTATTGGATTTGAATTGAGAATTACATCTCTGTGCTGATGTGGTATGGCAACATGAATTGATGATGTACTTACGTACGAAGTTCTACGTTGCATCTGACTGACTGACTGAGGTTGTTATCTGAAAAGCCTAAGATCACTTTAAGTCAATTCAAAATTCATTAAATATCAGAGATATGTTTTTTTTTTCGATTTTTATATATTGAAATGTAGGTTTTTGATGATTTGCCAATTTGTTGCAGTTAAAATCACGCACACTCTTCCTAATTTTTGATTTTAATCAGATTATGGTAGAGTAAAAGGACAAATATTGTACATTGAAAGTTTTATGTTGTAAAGGCCGAATGAATATACTTATAGACTGTGTTATATATATGAATATTATTGAAGTTAAAACCAGATGAAGCTATGTCAATGGTGACTATGTGTAGGTGAAGTAATTTATTCACAGAAGCGATCTCAGACAGCATGTAATCAGTCTATCGAAATGTCAGTAATTTAAGATTGTGGATTCATTTCAAAGACTACGTGTACAGTGGGTTTATAACAGTATGGTTGTAACAGATATGAGTCTCACCTTACCTATCTTCACACGTCTTGTCCCAAACGACAACTAGTCATAGGTTACAGTATAATTCTCTTAAACATTTCCATCCTACCTATGCAACTTGAAGTACATGTTATACCGTTTTTTGGTTCATTTGATACGAAATCACTAAAAGTTAACTTTATCTTAGAAAGCTGAATGCAGTTTGATGAATAAATTCCTCTCTTGAAACTCATCGACCCTAGTGTGTTGGTTTCATTGACAAAATGCCGAGTCTTCTGAACACCTTAAGCAATAATGCAAGCATGCAATTCTTCCCCTCGAAGTGCAAAAAGTTGCTTCAGGATTCGCTTTGATTGGCACTTGAACTAGTGATGGGTAGTGAAATAGTTAAGCGTGTTGACCGCTTCACTTATCTTGGGAGTCTCATCAGTGCTGATGGCGTGGCGTGGCGTGGTGTGTGACGAAATTTCAGCGTGGAGATAGGAGGCTTGATTAACTTTTGCCGACTTGTGTCACCCAAGCATGAGTTATCCTTCTACCAACCAAAGGACTAGTCTACTGCGCGTCGCAGTTCGCTGGGTCCTACTTTATAGCTGTGAACTATGGCCAGTCAGAGTAGAAGATATTTGTAGGTTACTAGTTTTCGATCATACGTGTCTCAGAAGCATTACTCGTTTATCTTGGGACTATAGAGTAAGCAATGCTGTTATTAGGAGACGGGTACTAGTTAAGGATGGCAAATCAGTTAATGAAGCAGTGAATATTAATCAGTTGAGGCGGTTGGGACAAGTGTTACACGTTTGCCCAGCCACCGACTGCCTCGCTGAGCTATGTTTTGTGATATAAAAGTAGGTTGGCCTTCCAAACCAAAACATGGGAGAAATGCATGAAGTCACTGACAAGTGAACTGAGTCATATCGGTAGATGTAGACTACGTGGTTGGGGTCCACGAGGCAATGGTAACCAATGGTTACAGACCTTGAACGACATGGCTCAAAATTAATTGGGTGTTTGAATTTTTGAATATTTCATTTTCCCATTATTTAATTCTTATTAATGCATGTTTTTCCCTAATCAATAATATATACATGTCTATCTGACAGATTACAATTTATTGAATATTCATAGTTTAATTTCTTTCAATGATTGACACATTAAACTTCATTTTTAAAGTAGGTAGATTTCTGTACTATATGTTAATGTATCTAAAGTAACAATGACATACTTTTTTCGTTTGCGTACTTATTTTTATTAAATAACCACAAACAAATCTCTTTGTGGTAGAGTTTTGTTCTTTGAGCGTGACACACTTCTCGTTGTTCGAAAATGTGGAGAATTTCGCCAAATAAGCAAGCTTCCTCCACTCAAGAACAACTGTACTTTCTCCACGACACAACCAAAATCAAACTTTCAGCTCGTTGAACAAAACTCCGCTACCACCACAATCATCCATCTGAACTAAAACATTTTCTTCATCACAACTTACTTACTTACTTACGCCTGTTACCCCCAATGGAGCATAGGCCGCCCAACAGTTTTCTCCAACCAACTCTGTTCTGGGCTTCCCTGTCCAGTTCTGTTCAATGTTTGTTCATTCCTTTCATATCTTTCTCTATTTCTCGGCGTAGTGTGTTCCTTGGCCTTCCTCTTTCCCTTTTTCCCTGTGGGTTCCATGTGAGGGCTTGTCTTGTGACGCAGTTCTGTGCTTTTCGTAATGTGTGTCTTATCCACTTCCACCGCTTCTTCCTGATTTCGTCCTACGCTGGAATCTGGTTTGTTCTGTCCCATAGTACGTTGTTGCTGATGGTGTCTGGCCAGTGAATCCGACAACTGTTAATAAACACTTGTATCTTGTGGATGATGGCTTTGGTAGTTCTCCAAGTTTCCACTCCATACAGTAGAACTGTCTTGACATTTGTATTGAAAATGCTGATTTTGGTTTTGATTGAAAATTGTTTGGAGTTCCAGATATTTTTCAACTGTAGAAATGCAGCCCTTGCTTTGCCAATCCGTGCCCTCACATCTGCATCGGATCCACCTTTCTCGTCGATGATGCTGTCAAGATATGTGAAGATGTTAACGTCCTCCAAGACATCTCCATCAAGAGTGATTTGGTTGGTGCATGTCGTGTTGCATCGGAGAATTTCGCTTTTTCCCTTATGTATGTTGAGACCTACTGCTTCAGAGGCTGATGCTACACTGGTCGTCTTTTCTTGCATTTGTTGTTGAGTGTGCGATAGAAGAGTCAGGTCATCTGCGAAGTGCAAATCGTCCAGCTACGTCCTGGCTGTCCATTTGATCCCGTGCTTCCCTCCAGATGTCGACGTCTTCATAATCCAGTCGATCACTAGGAGAAAGAGAAAGGGTGAGAGTAAGCAACCTTGCCTCACACCGTTCATCACCCCGAAAGAGTCTGTTAGCTGTCCTTCGTGTACGATTTTGCAGTTGAATCCATCATAAGAATTCCGTATGATGTTAACTATTTTCTCAGGCACACCGTAGTGTCGAAGAAGCATCCATAGTGTTTTCCTGTCCACGTTATCGAATGCTTTCTCGTAGTCAATGAAGTTGATGTAGAGTGGTGAGTTCCATTCAATTGATTGTTCCACAATGATACGTAATGTAGCAATTTGGTCAGTACACGATCGATCCTTACGAAATCCAGCCTGTTGGTCGTGTACGAAGTCCTTCATTCTGTTTAACAATACCCTGTTGAAGACTTTGTCTGGTATTGAAAGAAGAGTGATACCTCTGTAGTTCTCACACTTGCTCAGGTCGCCTTTCTTCGGAATTTTGATGAGGAGTTCTTCTTTTACCAATCTGATGGTACTTGTTCCTCATCCCACATCTTCTTGAAGAGGATGTGAAATATTTTCGCAGTTGCTTCTACATCTTCTTTCATTGCCTCTGCTAGAATGTTGTCTGATCCTGCTGCTTCGCCGTTCTTGATTTATCTGATAGCCATACTGATCTCCTCAATTGTAGATGCTCCAATATATTCATTAGGAGGTCTTCATCACCACCAACAATAATAATAATACTAATAATAATAATCTCTTTCATATTTTCCTTCTTTTTTTTCTCCTTCATATATACAATACAGCATCATTGTAGAAATTGTGGTGGTATATTTTGTCAAAATTGTTCTTCTAATCGAGCTTCTACAACATTCAGTAAAGATCCAGTTCGTGTATGTCAAATGTGTTATCAAGAGTTGACTAATCATAGTAATCATAATCATTCATAAACTGCTCTCTGTCAAATAAATAATCAATCATGTGGTTGGTTGGCTAGACAAAAACTGAATGAATTATCTGAGCTGTGTATATACGTACTTATAAGTGATTATTGCCTAATCATCAAAGTATTCTTACTGCATATATATGAATCAATTTATGTGTACCATTCTTCCCTCCCATTATCTATCATGTTATGCTTTATTTGAACATAATTGTGATTTTTGTGTCATTGACCTTTTTTTTAAATGGATTATGTATACTACTTACTATGAATACTACTTATTTCTGTTGAATTTACAAAGCTTGTGGCTTGTGACGTAACTTTCATACTTTCATATTTAATTATTTCTTTAGTTATTTCTTTCATCATAATAAATGTTTGCTTGATATATATTGAAGAAAAAAAATGCTGGCTTTTCCAGTCATATTTATTTGTCATTGTTATTCATGGTTATCGTATTTTTGTCGGTAATCATTTTGTCTGTTGATGGTGAATGCTGTGTAGGTTCTAAGTTAGGCCAAAGACTGAGAACCATGAGATGATTTAACTGACTACCGATGGGATTAATAACAATGCGATAGTTTCTGACTTAAGTAGTGTAATCAGGATCGGCAGATGAAACACCTCGGTGAAGCAATACTTATTGATTATAGAGTTGCGAAGATGATTGACTTATGAATCGATCATTGTCAAACCACCATTATAAACCTGGAAGTATTGGATGGCCGTTTCGTCCTGATATGGGACTCCTTAGCAGTGTGCATCCCGAACCCCGCTCGCTGTAATGGAACTCAGGACCTTTTGGTGCGCGTGTGAGCACTTAACCTGTAGGCCATTGAGTCGAAATCCAGCGGTGTTAATGTTCAATTTTGATCGATCCTCCATACTGTGCAACCTTATTCAGTTATATGAAACACGAAGCCAAGCACATATGTGTGTTTTGCCACATCAAGGTGCGGCAAGACCAATATATTAAAAATATGTCAGAGTAGTAGAATTAGTAAAATTATCAGAGTTAGTAGAAAACATTAGGCATAAACAATAATAATTTAAGGGAAAATTCACCTGTTGGATCCCAGAATTCAATATCTGAAGGCCGACAAAGTGAATGATACCTTGGTCTGTTGGGTTCAGTGTGCACCGTAAACTACTTTTTAATTTCGAGTGACGAAAAGTTCGTAATGCATATCATAAAGCAAGAGTTGGCGGTCTCTAAGGGTATGGATAACTCCTCCTGTAATCCCTTCGGGGCTACTACCGGTCCCAAGTCTGGATAAAGGAGGAGGGGTTGGTGACCCCAACCCGTCAAAAAACTAAATTGCCAGAAAAAAACGTTAACCAGAACAAATAATTCAAACAATTTTCACTCTGCCCTGGGAGTTGGAAGAAGAATTATGACGTCGCGTGATGAAAGCCGAGTTCCCTCGGAAGTCACGGGGTCGATGCCTCCTCTGACAACCAGAGCAATTATTTTTTTTAGGTACATGGAACGTTCGTACATTGTGGGAGACTGGAAGACTTTTAAGTTGCGGCAGAAGTAAGTAAGTAAGGGTATGTATGGACAAAGGATATCGTTGACGGCATCAAACTGTACTTCACGTGAAGCAGGAAGAAGAGGCGAATGCCGTTGATATTCGTGTCAATATCTATCATTGTAGAGGAGTAGAACGGAATGACAAACAGTACATCAAGGGAATTATTTTACTGTGATCAAATGTCATTTTCCTCGAGTTGTATCAGTTGTTTTAATAGTTCTCCTGAGCGTTGTCATTTTAAATAAAGTAGAAATGTTTTAGGCCATTCTCGGAATGACAAATATTTACAAAAATGATAGAGCAATAATCAAGTTACAGTGATACCGACGATTTGAAATAAAGCAATGGATGTATCGTTTGTGGATGGTTAAAAGAATATTTTTCCGTCCACTATATTCGCGTTCTTTCTTCGGTGGGATTATAACAATATGAATTGCAATTAAAACATTTTTAAATAGCGAGATCTAAAATTATAAATCCTACATTGTGAACTTACTTTTTTTAAATGTGAAAACTAAATTAACTAAGTTCAATGAAAATTTATAAACAGTTTGGGATTATGATCCTGTTACCCCTGCACGTAAACACGTCAACTTGATATACTTCAAGTATTACGATGTTACCTAGTCGGAAATCGAGAGCTAGGATCGGGGATCCGGCGACACGACATGCTACTCAAATCCGATTATCCCAACCCCCACATTGAGTAAAAATAAGAAGACTTGATATGAAGTTGAACCTGTATTCTACAAGCATCCCGAAGAGAAACAGGATCCGGGTCCTGGTCACAAAACGTTATAGAAAATGTGTATTTATACATTTTGGTAGAATGAGAAACAGCATCGAAGTCTGTGTAATTGACAGTTAAGACGACCAATAGGAACAAACATTTGAATTGACATTGATAGTCAGGACAACCAATAAGAAACAACATTGGAGTACATGACACTGTTATCTAGGACGACCATAAAATTGACCAATAAGAATTAACCAATAGGAATTGCCCAATAATTCTCTTAGGATATCGGATGAATATCCTATCAGATTCTGGTTGGAATATATTACTAGAGATGATCAATTGTTTAAGAATGTAGTAGTTGATTGATTTGGTGTTCCTAATAAATAAAAGTACAGAGTAGTTAGTGCTCACTATGCTGACCAATGTATCACTAGTTTCGTGACTGTCTGTATCCTACGTGTTCGTAGACTTTGTAATTTGCTCGTCCAGACAATCGTTACTAAGTAGCACCTGAAGGTTTATAAATCAGAAGGTGAACACGAAGTGTTGAACACGTTTATTTTGGCACGCTAGAAATGGACCAGCAGTCCACAAGCATACAGAAAAGGGCTAGCGAGAGAATTGGCGAACGAATTAATGAGGTTAAAATGTACATATATATACATAGGAAAATGTCTGATTCATCGAAATATATAAGAGATTAACATTAAAGTGAGTAGGATGAATATTCGTGTATGCAGTAAGTAATGTTCAGTCGTAGCAGCTCATACAAACAAGACAATAATAAAAGCCAATGGTATATATAAGTTTTTGCTATACAAATGCCTTGCCTAAATAAGTTAATCGGAAGGCTTCACCAAATTAAGTACCAGTCAACTCAAATGCATTTGGAGGCACTACATCATTTTAATCGCTGTAGGTTCACAACTTGCTTCTTCGAGTTAACTTGATCGAACAGATGTGTGCTACTAGTTTTACTTAAAAGTAGTATCTATTGATTAGTTGAAAATGTTTGGTTAATTGAATGATTCAACAACAACCCATTTTGATGTTCTCTCATTATCTGTAAAATGACTCGCTATGATGTTCGGCAAACGTGCCAACGTCCCATGATAAATCCAAAACTGTTATTATTGATCTTAACAATAACTAAAATTTGAAAGATATGTTAATGAAAGCATTGTAGAGTTATTTGTTCAAAGATCAATAATTAGGATTCATCACAAAATGAATGATTCATTGAGGTTTGTTGTAAAGTATTTTCATGTCGTGAATTGTTGACTAGTGTTATCCAGTTAAATTTATTCAACTGCTCTTTATGTTATTTTCTACTGTTTACTCTATTAATTTTATGAATGAGAAATCATTTGATATTTTATGAGTCACACTGTAGTTGACAAACTAGTTGGGGTAATCATTTGAGATCGATAAATATCGCCTAACATTCTGAAATATATTTGAAGTACTACTACTACTCACACTACTACTACTAACACTCACCTAAAATAATAACAAAGATGATAATTTTTACTTTGAAATAGAAGCCACAGATCAAGGTGTGAAATGAAACATGAATATGACGACCTCGTATCATGACCATCATGTTTATAACATTTTGGTGTATGAAAAATGTTCATAAACATACAGGTTACAAGATGATCATTTGACCTTTCTTCCTCAAATGTCTATAATATATTACAGATTGCTAAATAGATGTATTTAAGTGATGTTATCAGTACACCATTTCATGTGAGCTACACACTTCTGAAATACGGTAACTGGATTTTGATATTAGCTTTGCTGACAGTTTGTCTAGTTTCACAATTTCACACAGTTATATAAATTAACCCTCTATTGGTGAGGGTAATTTTACATTGGTTTTCAGGAGAACCAAGGGGACTGCCTATGTGGTAACATTTCAAAGTGAAAATTTGGGCTCAATCTCATGGTGCAACCACACAGGTACCTGACACCCTAGTGGACCATTCCACACCATTTATGTACACTAGTACATATACAGTGATTATTCCCGATTCATGATCACGTCAATCAATATGCACCAAATGAATAAGTCGATTTGACCCATCCTGCTTACATGACTGTCAAATTCATTATTATTAGCAATGGTGATCTATAGTACTTCACCCAAATAACAATGGCCCTCGAAAATGTTGCAAAACAACCGCCAGTATCAATGAAAACAGTCACCCTGTTAACCCGTTTTGCATGTAGACTGTCGGTCATACTTACTAGAGTAATGCCAAGCCATGCAAAATGTCCACAGCGAACCTCTGACCTCGTAGAAAACCTTCAGCACTACTTTATAGCAGTATAGCATATAGTATACACATAGTATTGCTTAGGTAAGCAAGAGATGCAGCCAAGCTTTATGCGAACGGTCTCAAATACTCTTGTTACCCTTTGTCTTATATCGGGTAATGATACCGAAGTTGTCATTTTTCGAACATATGAGAGCTGGGTTAACAGTAGTATCCCTATGAAGTCCAATGGGTTAACCGAATCCCTCAAATTTTACTTAAATCTACCTAACTATCCACTTCAATGTAATCATCCAGTTTATTCACAATTGTCTCATAGACCAAGTCAAGTTACCATTGGAATGATCACCGAAACTTGTGTAACTAATCTCTGCACGTTTTTCTTTTTATTAATAACAGAATCAATAGGAGCATTTCAATAGAAAGTGAAAATATCTCAATTTTTAAAATGAATCTTTTGTTCAATGAAAATTGAAGAAAAAAATTGTTTGTTATGTGGGCCAAAAGTGCGATTTCAAAAGGAGATGATTTTAATTGAAATATATGTTGTATTACGCCTACAATAATACAATAAAGTGTATATCATGATGTTAGAGATGATTATTTGGAAAGAATAATGGTAATACACTGAAACACACTAGAATTAATAATATAGGTCAACAGACAAGTCATTTGTTAATCACATTGTTAATCTCGGCTGATCCATACTAAGAGAAATAATGTAAGAGACTTGGTGAGTTTTTACATTTATCATTCAATTAAATAATCTTGATTGAACTTTTTAAGGGTATACAATAATCAAAGTAAACTTTATTATTATTGTGACAATGTAAGCAGCACACGTCTTCCATCCTTTAAGCTTTAAACAAAGTA